GGAGAATGGAGCATGGGTGCTGGGAGTGGAAGAGAGGGTGTATTAGTTAGGGGGGAATTGGGGGTAGGTGGGGGTTTTGGGGTAGAAGAGGGGAAGAGGGAGATGGGGGAAGGTGTTAGGGGGTCACAATGTGATGGGGTTAAATGTGGGCTGGAGGTGCATAGGAGGGGTTAGGGTTGGGTGGGGTTTGCGGGTGAGTGTGTGTGTGTGTGTATGTGTGTGTGTGTGCGCGTGCATGCGTGTGTGTGTGTGTGTGTGTGTGCACTCACCTAATTGTGCTGGCAAGGGTTGAGCTCTGGCTCTTTGGTCCCGCCTCTCAACTGTAAATCAACTCGTGTACAGATTCCTGAGCCTACTGGGCTCTATCATATCTACACTTAAAGCTGTGTATGGAGTCATCCTCCACCACATCACTTCCTAATGCATTCCATTTGTCTTCTACTCTGACACTGAAAAAATTCTTTCTAACGTCTCTATGGCTCATTTGGGCACTCAATTTCCATCTGTATCCCCTAGTGCGTGTGCCCCTTGTGTTAAATACTCTGTCCTTACCTACCCTATCAATTCCTCTGAGAATCTTGTATGTGGTGATCATGTCCCCTCTAACTCTTCTGTCTCCCAGTGACGTGAGGTTTAATTCCCGTTGACTCTCCTCGTAGCTCATATCCCTCACTAACTCTCTGCTTCCTATTGCTTAGATACTCCATGTAGCCACTGGAGCACCTTACCAGCTACACCTGCCTGTCTCTCCAGCTTATGTACCAGCCTCTTATGCGGTACTGTGTCAAAGGCTTTCCGACAAATCCAAGAAAATGCAGTCCGCCCAGCCCCTCTCTTTCTTGTGGTGTGTGTGTGTGTGTGTGTGTGTGTGTGTGTTTGTGTGTGTGTGTGTGTGCTCACCTACTTGCTTCACCTAATTGTGCTTGCGGGGTTGAGCTCTGGCTCTTTGGTCCCGCCTCTCAACCGTCAATCAACTGGTGTACAGATTCCTGAGCCTATTGGGCTCTATCATATCATGTGTGTGTGTGTGTGTGTGTGTGTGGTTGTGTGTGTGTGTGTGTGTGTGTGGTGTGTGTGTGTGGTCTGTGGGTGTGGGTGGGTGTGTGTGTGTGTGTGTGTGTGTGTGGTGTGGGTGTGTGGTGGTGTGTGGGGTGTGTGTGTGTGGTGTGTGGTGTGTGTTGTGTGTGGGTGTTTGTGGAAAAATAAATCAGTTGAATGATTGACAGTTGAGAGGCGGGGCCCCAAAGAGCCAGAGCTCAACCCCCACAATCACAACAAGGTGAGTACAAACTTGGTGAATACAAAGTTCAGATTAAGAAAGAGTAGACAGAGAAGCCGGAATTGGAACCTGGAAACACAGATGAGCCAAAGAGATGTCAAAAAGAACTTTTTCGGCCTCAAAGTTGTAAATAAATATAACGGACCATATGACGAAGTTGTCGACGGCAATTCGATAGACAACTTTGAATGTAAAAATTGAGAAGAAAAACGAATGAAAAGAGTCACTGTGTTGAACTAAAGATTGTCGAATGGCGGAGCTTATGAGCAGGTGCTTGTCCCTGTAAACACATCTAGGTAAGTACACACACGCACACACACACACACACACACACACACACACACACACACACACACACACACACACACACACACACACACACACACACACACACACACACACACACACACACACACAGTCAGAGCCATATGATTGTATCAGAGCCGATTCAACAAGACTGTGTCTGTTTAGAATAGAGGCAGGAAAGATTATTTTAGAGGAAGACCAATCAATAAGACGATTAGACTCCCCTAACATGGTAAAAAAGAGTATTGTTTGTGTCTACAGACTTAACAATTCTTTTGTATTCCTTAAGACTGTCATTTAGTGTACGCTCATTTTCACACACAAAAAAATAATCTATCCTGCCTCTACTCTACACAGACGCCGTCTTGTCGCCTCGGCTGTGATACACAACATACCCAACGTGAACCTGAGTCCTGGCTTTGTTGCTGTTGACTCTTCCCTTTCACAGTACAGACTCAAATGTTCTAAACTCTCTAACAAACGTGACCTAACTTAAGACTACCTTTCTTTTTCTCTTTCTGTCTTGCTCTTGTTTTTCTTACGTTCCAATTTTTACTCCTATTATTTCACCCTATATTACACCTTACCTGTCGTACCTTTTGCCTTGCTCTTATCTTCCTCTAAGCTTTCCGTCTCCACACCTCTCTCTTGCCTTAATGTCCTTGCCTCCCTCATCTCAACATATAGGAAAAAGAGAAAATTGGAAATCCAACATATAGAAAAAGAAGCCCATAATCTAGGGCTATCATTCACCCTAAATTGGATACCAAGTCACATTGGCATAGATGTTAATGAAAAGGCAGACTCACTAGCAAAAACTGCCACTGCTCTACCTGTTGTACAGGTTCAAATACCTCCAAGTTTTTCACAGATTAAGAAGCAAATCAAGAAGAAAATACTCCCAACTATCGAAAGTCACCACAGAGCCAAAGTAGCGGAAGGAAGATCCACTGCGATATAGAATGAACAAGCCACTGGGTACTACTCTTTCAAGCCTGACAAAAAGATATCCAGAGACATTGCAGTAGCCATACACAGACTCAGACTTGGCTACAAGTGCTGCTGGGAGGTAATAAACCCAATAGTTAAAGAGTTTCATATCTGTGGAACAGAAGCAGAGGCGCCAATATTGCACTACTTACTGGAATGTGAAGCTACTGAAGCTCTGCGCATCAAACTCAACATTAATCCAACGACAGCAGCTGCATTAGATGCACATTCCACCGCGACTACAATGATTAGAAAAGCCGTCAAAGAATGGGACTCACTAGTGAACATTCTGCATCTACATCCGCCACCAAGATAATGTTATTAAAACACGACAAAAACTGAAGCGAAAAAGAAACAGGGAAAAAGGAGGAAACCCCACCTCCATTTAAAACTTTGACTCAAATATCAGAGTAACAAGGTTATCGCGAATATCCGAACTCAGTTACGGGCTCACCTTAGCCCGTGCTACATGGACATTTCGTTCCGAGTAGCTAAATCTAAAACAATAACAACCAACAACCTCGCCTCATTACAACCGATTTGATAATGGTCCAGAACGGCCCGAAAGGTCGTCGTCTCTTCAATTTCTAGTGTGTGGTTTGGTCAACATGATCTGATAACTGGCTACTGGAGTTCAAAACGAGCAAGTGTAAAGTGATGGGAATAGGAAGAGGTGAGAGAAGGCCAAAGGGACAGTACACAATGAAAGGAAACTTCATCTTTGTATCTTCTAGAGAAAAGCACCTGGGAGTGGACATAGCACCAAATCTAACTCCTGAGGCTCATATAAATAGGAAAACGTCCTTAGCGTACTCAGCACCAGCAAATGTTAGAACATCATTCAGGAACCTAAATAATGGGGTATTTCGATCGCTGTACACCACCTACGTGAGACTAGTCTAAGAGTATGCTACACCTTCATGGAGCCCCCACCTAAAAAACACTTTAGAAAAATAGGAATGGTTCAGAAGTTTGCGACTAAGCTCGTCCATGAATTGCGAGGGATGGGATATGAAGAGCGACTGAAGGAACTAAACACGACGACTCTAGAAAAAAGGAAAAGAGAGAGAAGACTTGACAAAGCCATATAAAATACTTAGGGGGGGGGGATTGAAAAAATGGAAAAAGAGGAAATGTTCACAGTGAATACCAATGGAACAAGGGGATCTGGGGAAGCTTGAGATGAGTCATATCAACTTTAGCAAGTTTTCATTTATCGTAATAGAGGGAAAATGGAATGAACTAAAGGAGAAGGGTTGAAGAAGCAAACTCTATTCATGATTTTAAAAGTAGAAATAATTGGGCCACGAGTGGTGGCCTATATCTTCAGACAACTGGTGGCTAGAAAGGCGGGGTCCAAGAGCTAGAATTTGATCCTGTAGGCACAACTAGGTCAGTAAAACTAAATGAGCACAACCCCATCTTTACTTATCCGTATTCTACTGTTTCCTTTTCTTCATTAACCTTATCCACTACCTCCATCATTTTTCTCTACTCTCAACATTTGTTTCTACCTTCATCATTCTCATGTATCCTATAATTATCCTTCTATTTTATCGTTCTCCCCTTTATCCGCCATTCTTCTATTCCCTTAGTATTATCCTCTTCACCAACTTTCTCATCTCCAACCTTCTTACCACACTTTCACCCTCACCTTTACATGTTTTTTTTCCTATCTCTACTTTCTCTCATTCTTATTTTGTCTCCTAATTTTCTTCCTCCAACTTCCTTACACTCTCCCTCCTCCTCCTCTCACACTCTCTCCCTTCACAATTCCTCCTCTCTTTCTTTCCTCTCTCTCTTTCCTCTCTCTCTTTCCTCTCTCTCTTTCCTCTCTCTCTTTCCTCTCTCTCTTTCCTCTCTACCGTCTGGTTATCAGGTGTTGTGTTCACACCTTTTGGTGAACAGGTTCAACAACATGAGTCCTTCTGGGCCTTCACAACTCAACACCCGGAAGGGGGGGGGGGGGGGTAGAAATAGACTAAGCTACTCTATCCCATTGAGTTGTATTTTTATTTTTTTGTCTCAATAATTATACTTGAACTTGAAGAATAGGATTTCATGAAAGCTTTCGACACAGGTATACTCGGTGAGGCGACGATCTCGTATCTTGCAGAGCCGGCGTTCGATTCCCGATGGCCCATGGATGTGTTATTGTTGCGTTAACACAGGCCTACATATTGTTCCTCCTCGTTGTGAATGATCTCCAGAAAGTATGCGGACTACGTGATTGATCACCATGATCAATCACCAAGATCAATACATATATAGACCTTGTGATCGGTCTCCATGAGCACATCAGTCCCGTGATTAATCTCCAGAAGAATACATACACGAAGTGGCAGACCAAATTGGTCTTTTGGAGACCAGCCACAATGACCCAACCTTCGCTCCGTCACAATGTGTTCTGTGCTCTCATCCGTGTCTAGTGTTGCACAGCTGGGTCTGTGTTGCACAGCTGGGTCTGTGTTGCACAGCTGGGTCTGTGTTGCACAGCTGGGTCTGTGTTACACAGCTGGGTCTGTGTTGCACAGTTGGGTCTGTGTTGCACAGCTGGGTCTGTGTTGCACAGCTGGGTCTGTGTTGCACAGCTGGGTCTGTGTTGCACAGCTGGGCCTGTGTTGCACAGCTGGGTCTGTGTTACACAGCTGGGTCTGTGTTGCACAGTTGGGTCTGTGTTGCACAGCTGGGTCTGTGTTGCACAGCTGGGTCTGTGTTGCACAGCTGGGTCTGTGTTGCACAGCTGGGTCTGTGTTGCACAGTTGGGTCTGTGTTGCACAGCTGGGTCTGTGTTGCACAGCTGGGTCTGTGTTGTACAGTTGGGTCTGTGTTGCACAGCTGGGACTGTGTTGCACAGCTGGGACTGTGTTGCACAGCTGGGTCTGTGTTGCACAGCTGGGTCTGTGTTGCACAGCTGGGTCTGTGTTACACAGCTGGGTCTGTGTTGCACAGCTGGGTCTGTGTTACACAGCTGGGTCTGTGTTGCACAGCTGGGTCTGTGTTGCACAGATGGGTCTGTGTTGCACAGCTGGGTCTGTGTTACACAGCTGGGACTGTGTTACACAGCTGGGACTGTGTTGCACAGCTGGGTTTGTGTTACGCAGCTGGGTCTGTGTTGCACAGCTGGGTCTGTGTTACACAGCTGGGTCTGTGTTACACAGCTGGGTCTGTGTTGCACAGCTGGGTCTATGTTGCACAGCTGGGTCTGTGTTACACAGCTGGGTCTGTGTTACACAGCTGGGTCTGTGTTACACAGCTGGGTCTGTGTTGCACAGCTGCTCGTAATTACTTACTTTTCAGACAACGTATTATACACGTTCACTGATGGCGACAAAATTCTGGCGAGGATAAATTCTGTAACGACAGGACTTACCTGAAATGGTTAGGCAATTAGGTAGTTAGGCAACTGCTGTGTGTTGCACGCTGCGGGGAAGGTCAGTAGTTGACTTAAGAGAAGCCGTCATGCAGACTTCCAGTCCGCAGTAACGAGAATTACATCGTATAGGTTACATCTGCTCTGTATAGTATTCCCACCAGAGTATAGTGCCAGTGTTAAGATATATGAGCTACGAGGGGGGGAAACTAAATTAATTCAATCTCACGTCATTAGAAGAGAGAAGGAACAGGGGAGGGGAGACATGATCACCAGATTATAATTCTCATGGAAACAGACATGGCAGACTAGGACGGATTTTTGTCATAGGGAACTAAACCCCTCATAGGGGGGGGGGGGATACAGGTTGAAGACTAAGTGCCACAGTGTGCCACATAGATTTTAACAAACACAGATTATGGAATATGCAACAAGACTCATTGCTAAGTTTGGTCTACGCAGAAGTCCTAAGGTGAGAAAAATACATTTAATTCCCTGTGGAAAAAGTTTGAGTAAAGCCATAGGGAGAGGTGTTGAGAGTTAACAACATCATAACAAGGATGTTGTTGTTGTTAAAGATTCGCTACCTGGAACAAAAAGTTCCAAGTAACACGGGCTATGGTGAGCCCGTAGATAGTTATATGCATAACAAGGAGATGAATGTCAATTAAATTCTCAAATAAGCTACATATGCGTCACATAATTTTTTCAGCATAAGTTAGGCAAATCAAACGAATATGTTAGATGCAGTTGTTAACACTAACTATATATATTCGTTGATGTAAATCATTTACAATAAAGGCCACGAGTTGCTAGAGAGGCTGACGAAAGCACACCCCCCCCCCTGGAGGCACGTGTAGGTAAGCTCACATAGAGGAACACCCGATCTCATACACACAAACATATCCATGAACATTTTTATAGTAACACTAAACATTGATCGCCCGTCACACTAACTTAGCAGTTTAATGCGCCATCAGCGTATAAATACGGCAGTTTTACTCTCAATATATCCAGTATCGCGGAAAATATATCTAGATAGACTTTCCATGAAAAACAAAAATAATTTTGTTGTATATTTTGAACAACAATTTATTTTTATGTTAGCCATGACAGAAATGAAACCTGTTGTTTTTGTCTTCTTCACTTTTATTTGTTTCTTACCGAACAAAAACACAACAAATAAAGGTTATTTTGTGAATAAATTTAAAGTGTACGCTCGTGAACATATGCAAATAATGCTATCTAGTCCTTGCAGTTAAGTCGATATTCTCGTTGCCAATCACTGGGAGAACAGACCCTAACCTTCCTGGCTGTTAAGTCGAGGGTTCGGGGTGGGGGAGGAAACTGCTTCCTAGTAATTTGGTGTGGAGCATGAACTGCCTCGTGCCCCGCCGGAACGTGCTCACTGGGTTTCGAACGAGTGTAAACTGTAATGGGGTGTTTTCTATGCCGGGTTAGCCAGGCAATGGTGGCACCGTCCCATTTGATGACGCTTTAAAAATCTTATTTGTTACCAATTAAGGTCAACAGTTTTCTATAAACAGGAAGAGAGAGAGAGAGAGAGAGAGAGAGAGAGAGAGAGAGAGAGAGAGAGAGAGAGAGAGAGAGAGAGAGAGAGAGAGAGAGAGAGAGAGAGAGAGAGAGAGAGAGAGAGAGAGAGAGAGAGAGAGAGAGAGAGAGAGAGAGAGAGAGAGAAGTATTTAACAAACTTTTCAGTATTTATGAGTTTGTAATACACATATTTATATATATACTGATATACCTTTTCCATTCCTTCCGAATATTTGTCGAGTGAAATACGGCTGAACTTATATTTTATCTCTCTCATTGCCACTTAAATCATCTTCATAGTTTATTCCTCGTTTGTTGCTTTGATGTGGCAGCCGAAGGAGGGAAAGACTATGGTTTTACTGGAGAAAATGTGTGTGTATAAGACAGGCTGTGACCCTCTGCTAGATACAATAATTCCTACACGATACGGCGTCGCAGGAGAGTTGACATAACTTCTAACATAGCCATAACGAAATCTTCTAACATAGACATAACGAAATCTTCTAAAATAGACATAACGAAATCTTCTAAAATAGACATAACGAAATCTTCTAAAATAGACATAACGAATTCTTCTAACATAGACATAAGGAAATCTTCTAACATAGACAAAAAAAAATAGACATAAGGAAATCTTCTAACATAGACATAATTTTAAACGTCTAACACAGACATAACAAAAACCTTTAACATAACCTGTCCTAGCCCAGCTACGCAGAGAATTATGCAAACGAGATTCTAGCACCAATGCATTCAGATCCACCATAGTAGTAGTAGTAGGCATGAGTCTCAGGAGACTATGGAGTTGCGCTCTGGTTGTCGGTCTGGAGTGGCCTCACCAGGGCGCAAAGCCAGGGTATCCACCATAGGAGGTTGGTAACAACACTTACAGCTACTTTAACAGAGGTTAATATATCTTTCTTTCTATAACTTTCCTTACATTCAATATTAGTAGACTGCAGTGTGGAAAACTCCGCTCCTTTCCGTGACTGTTACATCTAGAAAGGGCAGCTTCCCATCCTTCCCCATCTCGTAAGTGAAACGCAACACAGAATTCTGCTCAAATGCCTCCTTCAGCTCCACACCTTCCCCACATTCACTCAGTATTACCAATACGTCAGCAAAATCACACGAGATCATTCACAGCAGTATTTGTGACAAACTTTAAAGATCAATAATTTGCATTCTGAAAAAAATGATTTCTTTTCAGTCCTGTTAAAAAGCGCCATCACACCTAATTCCCACCTCCCTGTTTCACCGTATTTCTTTCGTCACTCTTTCGCCTTCCCCCTTCAGCGGGTTCGATTCCTTCGGCAGGAAAGACGTTTCGTCACCTTTCTCATCACCTTATGACTGTTGTGATTTTCATCCCATGGAAGGGACAGTCCAAACACCTGATGGCTCTGTTCACCTAGCAGTAAATAGGAGCCCCGGGGGCTATAGGCATCTGCTGTTCGACTGCATCCTGGGAAAACATCAGAAGTTGGCCTAGGAAGAAACGTCGATATAACTCTATCAGTCCGTCCTGTGCAGGCGATGAGGTACGATATTCTGGCTGAAGATATTAATGACCAAACTACACATATCGGTAGATAGAGAAACGACGACGTTTCGGTCCGTCGTGGACCATTATCAAGACCATTTGCATTCTCAAAGACCTGATAATCACACGCCTTGATAATGGTCCAAGTCAGACCGAAACGTTATTGTTTCTCCATTCTCTGATGTGTGGTTTGGTCATGAGTCGTGCTGGCCCTGACACTGAGAGGCCAAACAGTATACCGTTCATTTGTTCTGAATGATAACTCTATCATTGGACAGTGAGAATGATGCCTCCACCGTTGGACATTCTGAATGATGCCTTCACCGTTGAACATTCAGAATGATGCCTCTACCGTTGAACATTCAGAATGATGCCTCCACCGTTGAACATTCAGAATGATGCCTCCACCTTTGAACATCCAGAATGATGCCTCCACCGTTGGACATTCTGAATGATGCCTCCACCGTTGAACATTCAGAATGATGCCTGCACTGTTGAACATTCAGAATGATGCCTCCACCGTTGGACATTCAGAATGATGCCTGCACTGTTGAACATTCAAAATGATGCCTCCACCGTTGAACATTCAGAATAATGCCTGCGCCGTTGGACATTCAGAATGATGCCTCCACCGTTGGACATTCAGAATGATGCCTGCACTGTTGGACATTCAGAATGATGCCTCCACCGTTGGACATTCAGAATGATGCCTGCGCCGTTGGACATTCAGAATGATGCCTGCGCCGTTGGACATTCAGAATGATGCCTCCACCGTTGAACATTCAGAATGATACACTGGCTTTACCCTCCTCTGTATTGCCTCATATCTTTACTATTTCCTTATTTCCTCCGTGTGCTGCCGTCACACCTCAGCAACAACTTTACACAATCCTGAGAGTGTCTAAAGCTGCTGATTGGATTTTCATGTTTTTGTTTTCATTCTCCCGTGATATTGTTCCGCGTGCATATAAGGGGTTGCGCAGTGGTAACATACTCTATCCGCGCTTCGACAGCAATTTTGTCTGGGATCGATCCGCGGCCATAGATGATTGACTGGGCGCCAGTCCTTAACTATTCGCTCTTGTTCACCCAGCAGTAATTAGGGGCCTGGTTGATTGCCTATTGACGGGTCGTGGTTCAGTGAAAACTAGTAGGTAAGGTAAGGTAAGGTAAGGTAAGGTAAGGTAAGGTAAGGTAAGGTAAGGTAAGGTGAGGTAAGGTAAGGTAAGGTAAGGTAAGGTAAGGTATGGTAAGGTAAGGTAAGGTGAGGTAAGGTAAGGTGAGGTAAGGTAAGGTATGGTAAGGTAAGGTAAGGTGAGGTAAGGTAAGGTGAGGTAAGGTAAGGTAAGGTAAGGTAAGGTAAGGTAAGGTAAGGTAAGGTAAGGTAAGCCTCAGGTAAGGCTTACCTTGAAGTATGGAAAAGGACAGCTTTTAGCCTGGTAAGAGAAGTCAGACATCATCTAGTTATTCTACTCACCCCCGTAGTAAGAAAAAAAAAGAGTTCCCTCCTTCATGTACTACCCAACCACTTGGGCTGGACGGTAGAGCAACGGTCTCGCTTCATACAGGTCGGCGTTCAATCCCGGCCCATCCAAGTGGTTGGGCACCATTTCTTCCCCCCCCCCCACCTATGTTCCATCCCTAATCCTTATCCCTTCCAAGGGATTATCCCTAATCCCTTATCCCTTTCATACGCGTGCTGACTTGGCGCTTTCTCCTGATAGTTTGCTTCCTCTCCTTCATATACTTCATTTAACATACTTTCTGCATTATGTTACCTAAATAATATATTATATTTCGCCAGAGTCGCTCTTCTCTTAATTTCACTTCCACATTTTTTTTGTAATTTTGTTTTGTAATCAAATACTAGAGACATTAATCAGCAGCAAATTCATCATCGTATCGAGTTAACTCGATTTATGAAAAATAATTTGTTCCATAAAATCTGCGCATCCTACACGGCGTGACCCGACCCGGAACTAGGCCTTGACCTCCCCCCCCCCAACCTAACCCACTCAGCCACTCTCATTTACGTCTCTCTGATGCCTCTAATCCAGGAAATAAATAGCAGCCGCGGGACAGCAAGTGGTTGTGTCGTACACCTTCATTCACGTCCAACCATGCGGTCACCTGGTAAATGTTTCCCTCGTGAAAGACCTCCACTGTAATCAGCACATTTGCCTCCACCACTCACCTGGTCCTCGACCTCTCAAAGTCGATTCATCTTACGCTTTCTTCAGATTCACAAAAAAGAACAGCGTGGGTTTGCGCACTTCATCACAAGTCCCATTCTCTCTCTCACCTAATACTCCGCTTTCACGACGCAGTCCATCAAGTTGTTAAAACTGAGTTATGTCAAACTCAAAGCACCGTAATGTTGACGTTTTCCCGAGAATCGGTCTCAATAGGTTTGGTGGGTTGCTTGGGTTCGAACGTTTGCGGGTAGGCAAAACAGTTTTAATGTTTCATGGTCCGTCAAGTGGTGACAACCTGCTGATATAATTGTAAATATCTGAACCCAACAGTTTCTTCCAAGAAAACATCCCAATTGGCTGGGCTGTTACTTTGGCCTGAAAGTTAGAGCGACGGTCTCGCTTCAAGCAGGTCCGCGTTCAATTCCCCGACCGTCCAAGTGGTTGCACCATTCCACCCCTCCCCCTCCCCCCGTCTCCTTCCCAAATCTTAACCCCTTCCCAGTGCTAAATAGTCATAATGGTTTTGACATTTTCTCCTGATAGTTCGCTTTCCCTTCCACCAAAACATCCACTATGTTCATCATTTTCTATGTTATTTATTTAATATTTTCAATTCCTCATGTCTTACTCTTTACCCACAATGCTCAGTGGCCACGTGAATATACTCACCTAATTGCATTTGTGTAGGATGAAACACGGCTCTTGGGTCCTGCCTCTCAACCCTTAATCGACCGTATAGTACGATTGCCTGTCGCGTTCATCATGAAAATTATAGAATGATACAGTGACAGGGCACAGTGATAGTCATGGTACCATGATTGTCATGAGAGTTCCTTCATCGCTGGTTCGAGTCACCACCGTTTGGCCAACTCAAAACATATTACAAACAGGTAAACTACTTGAGCAGAGAATACAAGAACATAAATATTGATTAAGAACAGATCAAGAGTCCAATGCATTGTTTGTTCCCTTAAGAGATTTTAATCATTCAATTGACTGGACTAATTCGTGCCAAATTATGGAATGTAAACCAGTTACTGAAAGAAATATTATTGAATCTTCATTTATAACAAAAAATAATGAATTAGATTGAATTAGATGAATTAGATTTTTATTGATGAATTATTGATTATTATTGATTAGATGATTATTATTGATTAGATTGATTAGATGAATTAGATTTTTATTGCCTGTCCCTACCTCCTCATCACAATCGACTTGAGAATGGTCCAGGACGGACCGAAACGTCGTCGTCCCTTCAACTTCTAGTGTGTGGTCTGGTCAACACGAATTAGATAATATCAATGTAAGTTCAGGATTATATAAATTAGATAACTTTATAATTGCTAAGATTTGCAATAGATATAAAATTATATAGACAATTATTGTATGTGTGTAGCACATTCCAAGAATGAGGGAATACTCCAGTTAATAGCCACAGAATACCCCAGTAAATATCCACTGAATGCCCCAGTAAATATCCACTGAATACCCCCAGTAAATATCCACTGAATACCCCAGTAAATATCCACTGAATACCCCAGTAAATATCCACTGAATACCCCAGTAAATATCCACTGAATACCCCAGTAAATATCCACTGAATACCCCCAGTAAATATCCACTGAATACCCCCAGTAAATATCCACTGAATACCCCAGTAAATATCCACTGAATACCCCCAGTAAATATCCACTGAATATCCCCAGTAAATATCCACTAAATACCCCCAGTAAATATCCACTGAATATCCCCAGTAAATATCCACCAAATACCCCAGTTAATATCCACTTCAATCATCTCACGCTCATGTCACCTCCATTAGTCAAAGTTTTATCCGATGAATCTTTAGTGTAGTCAGGTGTAGCGGGGGACATAATCCCAAACTCTTATGTCCTCTGCCTGTGTTTCCTTAATAATGTGGTGAAACATGAGCACGTAAATGAAAATGCAGACTCACTAGCAAAAACTGCCACGGCTCTACCTGTTGTACAGGTTCAAATACCTCCAAGTTTTTCATAGATTAAGGAGCAAATCGAGAAGAAAATACTCCCAACTATCAAAAGTCACCACAGAGCCAAAGTAGTGGAGGGAAAATCCACTGCGATATAGTATGAACAAGCCACTGGGTACTACTCTTTCAAGCCTGACAAAAAGATATCCAGAGACATTGCAGTAGCCATACACAGACTCAGACTTGGTTACAAGTGCTGCTGGGAGGTAATAAACCCAATAGTTAAAGAGTGTCATATCTGTGGAACAGAAGCAGAGGCGCCACTATTGCACTACTTACTGGAATATGAAGCTACTGAAGCCCTGCGCGTCAAACTCAACATTAATCCAACGACAGCAGCTGCATTAAATACCACTACAATGATTAGAAGAGCCGTTGAAGAATGGGACTCACTAGTGAACATTCTGCACCTACATCCGCCACCAAGATAATGTTATTAAAACACGACTAAAACAGAAGCGAAAAAGAAACAGGGAAAAAAGAGGAAACCCCACCTCCATTTAAAACTTTGACCCAAATATCAAAGCAACAAGGTTATCGCGAATATCCGAACTCAGTTACAGGCTCACTATAGCCTGTGCTACGTGCACGGGCTATGGTGAGCCCGTGCATTTAGAGCCCGTGCATTTAGAGCCCGTGCACATTTAGAGCTCGTGCATTTAGATTTAGCTACGAAGTTCTGAGTAGCTAAATCTAAAACAGCAATGAGCACGTACGGAATTTTCGTTTCATTTTCCTAGTTGATACTTATGCATAACTCAATCTTGTGTTTTTTGTGATTTTTCTTGTATCTATTTATCTATCTATCTACTCATCTATCTATTTATCTATCTATTTATCTATCTATCTATCTATCTATCTATCTATCTATCTATCTATGTGCGTCAAGATTGAATGGTCCCCAAGCTAACATGCGTCAGATAACTCTTGACCCCTGAAGGATTCGAACCCGGATAGCCAGGGAACTCTACTCGAATTAGGGAATTCGAACCCAGATATTTAATGGGCATGGAGGCCCTGGCTGTCTGGGGTCGAATCCTTCAGGGGTCAAGAGTTTTCTGATATATATATATATATATATATATATATATATATATATATATATATATATATATATATATATATATATATATATATATATATATATATATATATATATATATATATATATATATATAATATATATATATATATATATATATATATATATATATATATATATATATAATATATATATATATATGTATATATATATATATATATATGTATATATATGTATATATATATATATATATATATATATATATATATATATATATATATATATATATATATATATATATATATATAGCACAGGTGTGTAAACACCTGTGCTTGCGGGGGTTGAGCTTTGGCTCTTTGATCCCGCCTCTCAACTGTTAATCAACTGGTGTACAGATTCCTGAGCCTACTGGGCTCTATGTTACCTATATTTGAAACTGTGTATGGAGTCAGCCTTCACCACATCACTTCCTAGTACATTCCACTTGTTAACTATATACAAATGTGTGTATACACAAGAGTATATGTGTGTGTATGTGCGTGTATGAGTGTATGTGTTGTGTGACAGTATCGGTGGTGGCAATAAAACTATTTTTGTGTTTTAAGTGTAAACACCTGAATGAGTGAACACATATATTATACTCACATGAATACAATTATCTGAACTCATCCGGCATCATGCGCAACATAATCATTCCTCTGAACACCAATTGGTTGATTGTACTGTAATAATTTTTCCATTAACACGAAGAATTTAAAAGTGAAAAAAAAAAGTTTGTATCTCCACGAATTGCTTTAAATTCTTTCAATTGGCAAACAAACAACAGCAAATTTAATCCAACGCCCCAGTTCACGCAACACGCACCCCCTCCCCCCCCGCCTCGAGAGAAATTGACACCCAGTGTTAATGTGATTGTCTGCCCTATCCGGCCCTATCCGGCTCTATCCGGCCCTGAGATGTGGGCCACGAGACGAAGCTAGCACGAGGCTCGTATGCAAATGTAATTTTTCTTCATCACTGACTCGTGGTGTTTGAGGACGCTTTGGCCTCAAGGTATTTGCCGGGTGAGGGACGCCCCTGACTGTAGCATTGCCCCCTGAGCCTATAGTGGGGGATGGCCCCTGGCTGTGAAACATTGCCCCCTGAGCCTATAGTGGGGGATGGCCCCTGACTGTGAAACATTGCCCCCTGAGCCTATAGTGGGGGATGGCCCCTGACTGTGAAACATTGCCCCCTGAGCCTATAGTGAGGGGATGCATGCCCCTGAGTCTAGCGTGGTAGAGCAGTTCTGTCCGATACTGTCTGAGGCGTTTAGGCAGCTCTCTCCTTATTGCAAAATTAATACAACATAAATTACTGGTTCAATTTAAATTAAGAATTACATTAAGAATGCTGTGTGACCTTACTTGAAAAGAGCGTGCTATATCATTTTCGATTTTTTTTTAAGAGCAGGAGCTATAGACGAGACGATGGAAGAGAAACCCTATTCTAGTCCTGAAGGCTTGACCTCCAGGCGCATCAAGCCAGGACCTAGAAGAATAAGGCAATATAAAATAAGTTGAAGTACACTGTACCAACAATGAAGATCTTGTCGGAAAATCCGACACCATTTAATAATAATATCATACAGACAGATAAGAGCTGTGTTGTATAAACAAGTTACCCATAGAAAACGTAACTTGTAGTGGAATTACCGTCTATAGAAAACGGGATATCATCACCACACACTATTATAATTCACCAGCTATTCTGCTGGGAATTATTCTTAAATACATTAGTCTTTGGACTTTACCATCATAAAAACATCTTATATAAATTAACTTAATTATCAATATTAAAGTAGAGTAAATGTGACCCTTCTATCACTTTCTGAAATGTGGACAATGTAAGCCAGGCGTCAGAGTGAGGAAGGAGGGCAGCCATTGTTTATACTAGACCAGAGGCTCACACGGGAGCAAATTCGGCTCCTGTTAAATTTACTTGGACGTAGTGTTATGGAAACCAAAGGTGTACCATTGTCAACACGCTGTCTACAAATTCAAGTTAAGTGTCTATCCGAAACCCGTTTATCATTCATTTATGGCCATTAATGTCAGGATATAGGGTGACCCGGTTAGATCGCGAAATCGCCTCATACTAAAGGTAATTAAGCCAGGTCTTCAATGTTCCATATAGTGTTTTCTCTGATATAGCTTGTCATATATAGGATTCTGGCTTCACAGCTAGCGCACTTTTGACAGGTCAAGACGAGGATGCAAGATTTTGTGCACCAGTTACTGGGTGATATGGAAGCTACCTCAAAGAGGATAATTTGGTGTCTACACCCTAGTTATACCTGGTGGACTAACCTGCTGTACTATAAGATAAGGAACCTTTTCAATGTATGTAGTTAATACTGTAGTTTGATTGGCTGCATATATATTAATTTAATAAACCCCCCTAATGTGTAGAGGATCGATTTGTGAGATTATGAGATTATTGCAGAAATACAGTCCACTTATCATTATACAAATTGCTATCGAAGTATATAAATTAACGTAAATATAAATTCTATATAAATTAAATAAATATAAATCTCACAGGTCGGTTCCCACAGATCTTGGTGATCTGTTCAAAACACTTACATGTGTCGTATGTAAACAAAAACAAATAATAGTAACCCCGAGAGAATGTCAAGAACCAAAAGTCACAAATAAGGAAATAATAAAAATAGAAAAAACAATAGTGAAGAAAAGTAGTCCAAGGTCTTATCTACACAGAGAGAGAAAGTGGCAAGTGAGATGAGAAGGTTCACTGAACATAGAATCGAAGGAAGCAAGAATTAGAATTGAGATTTTGATTGAAGGAACGAAGAGGGGCCGAGGCCGGATAACCGTGTTGTGAGACATCAGATGACCAAAAAAAGATAACAGGTATGTAAAATATGTTGTAAATGTAAATGTAAAAAGCCACTAATACGCACAGCGTTTCGGGCATTATTTCAATAGAAAGACTAAAGGTCATGTCGTTTCATATCGTTTAGAATAGGCAAACAGAACGCTTGTACTTCATGATCATCAAAGATTTGCCAAGTAGATGAATTTAGCCTTGTGAGAAGACGACAAAGAATCTCCGGATTGAAGAGTAAAATGATCAAAGATGTCATAGCAATTAGATGAAACAGAGGAGCTGTTGACACAACAGATTAATTAAATAACAAACTGAGGCTCGAAGCTTAAGCCAAACACCATTAAAATTTGGGTTAACTGCAGATTCAAGAGGCAATTAACGTGTGTATTATTGTGACAGCAGGGATCGAACCCTCCTTTAGAACGGAATAATATCACAAGGTTATGTACTGGGAAATGACCAACCAAAGGGCTCTCGAACTTCGAGTTTCCGTCGAAGTCAATAGAAAGTAATGTACTTTCTGAAGGAAAGTTAGAAGAAAGTCCTGGTGATATTGTGTGTTGATGAGGCCATTCCTCCCTCCCCGTCCTACGTCCAGGAGAGATCCAGTAAGAAAGAATTAAGGAAACTGCAGAAGGTGTATTGGCCCAGACGAGATTGTTCTTATTTGTATCCACGTAAACTCATCCATATTGGTGAAGTGTTTACAGTACTATGTAAGCAAGGGAGGGGAGGGGGGTGGAGGGGTGAGTTCTGGCTATGTACGTTCGAGCCGTAGTCAGGTCATAGTTCTATATCCAACCCGTTCTCGTACTTGCTTATAGTCAATATCTTGCTTATGAATAAGTGCATATGTGACATACTAATTTATTGTGAATATTTGAGTTTACCTTGAAAAGCTGAATAGAAAACCACAACCTAACCTAACCTAA